AGGTTTGGATGCGGGAGTTTTGGTTGTACCTTGTGAACACTGAAAAGCGGCAAATAAAGTTTTCTGTTCATTCATTCATTGAAGAGGTTTGACTGTACAATAAAATAAAATCACAAATATAATTTTTGTGTGTTTTGAAAGAAAGGCATGCGCCTTATGCAATAGGGCACACATGGTACACAAGTAGATACTGTACTGTATATACTCATAGTAATCACCTGGAAATCTGTGCAAGTGCTAAGCTCCACTACATGCTTCAACAGCGTTTTTAGGTTGTTTACTGTCCTGATCAGGGCTCCAACACTATCAGGGAATTCAATATCCATGTTATCCATGTGCTGTTCCATGATGTTCAAACCAGTGCCCAGAGAAACAACCAATGTTGGCCTTAAGATCCTATGTTTGGGGTTATTAGAACCTCTCAGTGCGATATTGAATTCCCATAGTTCAGTCAAGAGATCCAATGTGGGGTTATTGGCTACCAAACCACCATCACAGTACACTCCTTGAGCCCTTTTCAAAAATGAAAATACAAAAATTTGTTCATGTTTTATCAAGCTAATCAATTTGTAGCCCTTTTTCACTTGAAATATGTTGGAGCAGCTGCTGATGCTTGGGCTGCAAACCACATGTACTCAGAATCTGGGTCATTTGGAGGTCTGAAGTATTTTGTGTCCAGAGGATATCCCAGCATCATGTTTGGAGGTTTGTAGTTCCTGAAAAGATCCAATTACAAATCCATGCATTCCTAAAACTAATACCTTGATTGAGATAAAAGATCATCCATTCCATTGTTGTAAAAAATTTAAAATTCATATTCATTGACATAGGACTATAGGAGGTGTCATAAAACATATACATTTTAATAGGCTTCATACATGTGGTTTCTAAAAATTTGGCAATGGAAAAAATAAATGTGCTTCATACAGAAATGCAAATATATTTGGAATTTGCTGAATTGCCTTTGTTGCAGAAAACAAAACAGAGTGGAGTGTATGCTACAGAAGCAAATTAAATTAATTATGA